CATATGTGAGCCTGCAGCACAAAAGCAGTGTTAAGTCGCTGGGGGATATTTGTAGCAATAGCCAACAATACATTGTATGGGTCAAAATTATACATTTCTCTTTTATGCTAAAAATCATTAAGATATTAAGTAAAGATCATGTTCAGTGAAGATATTTAGTAAATTTCCTACCGTAAATATATCAAAACTTAATGTTTGATTAGTAATATGCATTGCTAAGAACTTCATTTGGACAACTTTAAAGATGATTTTCTCAATATTTTTTTATCCTATCATAACAAACCATACATCAATGGAAAGCTTAATTATTCAGCTTTCATGTGATGAATAAATCTCAATTTTGAAAAATTGACCCTTAAGACTGGTTTTGTGCTCCAGGGTCACGTATTATACTGATTTCTGAAGATCATGTGGCACTGAAGACTGGAGTAACGATGATGAAAATTCAGCTTTCATCACAGAAATAAATTACAGTTTAATAGATATTCACACAAAAAACAGTTTGTTTAAATTTATAATAATATTTCACATTTTACTGTATTTTTTCTGTATTTTTATTAAATAAATGCAACCTTGATGAGCATAAGCGCCTTTAAGAAACTACTGATAATAAATCAGCATATGTGAGCCTGCAGCACAAAAGCAGTGTTAAGTCGCTGGGGGATATTTGTAGCAATAGCCAACAATACATTGTATGGGTCACAATTATACATTTCTCTTTTATGCCAAAAATCATTAGGATATTAAGTAAAGATCATGTTCAGTGAAGATATTTAGTAAATTTCCTACTGTAAATATATCAAAACTTAATGTTTGATTAGTAATATGCATTGCTAAGAACTTCATTTGGACAACTTTAAAGATGATTTTCTCAATATTTTTTTATCCTATCATAACAAACCATACATCAATGGAAAGCTTAATTATTCAGCTTTCATGTGATGAATAAATCTCAATTTTGAAAAATTGACCCTTAAGACTGGTTTTGTGCTCCAGGGTCACGTATTATACTGATTTCTGAAGATCATGTGGCACTGAAGACTGGAGTAACGATGATGAAAATTCAGCTTTCATCACAGAAATAAATTACAGTTTAATAGATATTCACACAAAAAACAGTTTGTTTAAATTTATAATAATATTTCACATTTTACTGTATTTTTTCTGTATTTTTATTAAATAAATGCAACCTTGATGAGCATAAGCGCCTTTAAGAAACATAAAGACATTGCTAATTTTGGTTCAGGGGAGGTCAGGGTTGGTTGGCAGAGGATTAATTCTGGGTTATAATTAGATACCATCAAAACATTTTTCGGTGCAGTTGCACTCTTCAAACTCTGAGACATGAAAGCTAGACTCCTGCTAAAATGGCATTGATAAGAGAGACGTTCGGGAGAAGTTTCTCAGTTTGGGAAGGTTTCCAAATGAATGCTTCAGAAGTTGCAACCTGTGTGTCTAATTATCACCTCTGTCAGCTAAGAACTTCATTTGGACAACTTTAAAGATGATTTTCTCAATATTTTTTTATCCTATCATAACAAACCATACATCAATGGAAAGCTTAATTATTCAGCTTTCATGTGATGAATAAATCTCAATTTTGAAAAATTTACCCTTAAGACTGGTTTTGTGCTCCAGGGTCACGTATTATACTGATTTCTGAAGATCATGTGGCACTGAAGACTGGAGTAACGATGATGAAAATTCAGCTTTCATCACAGAAATAAATTACAGTTTAATAGATATTCACACAAAAAACAGTTTGTTTAAATTTATAATAATATTTCACATTTTACTGTATTTTTTCTGTATTTTTATTAAATAAATGCAACCTTGATGAGCATAAGCGCCTTTAAGAAACATAACACTGATCCCAAACTTTTGGTGTGTGCATATGTACACACACACACTGTGACTTAATTTGATCAATCAAAATACTAATTTGATTCAAGTTTCCAACTGACTCTTTGTGACTGTGGATAGTTTGTGTGAAGTGTGATATGATGAGGCAGAGAACTACCCCTGCTGTACCTTTCGCTGGTCACCGGAGGCTGTGAAGTATGGAAGTGCGCTGAAGTAAAGCTGTTGGCAGGGGATGTAACAGCTATTACGGGCCCCATCTCTTGAGGGCCACCGGAAGACTCGTACAACACTCTTTGCTTCCATTCTGCTGCCGTTTCTGGTAGTGATTTTCTATGAGTAGCAGAGATTTTGGACTCTTCAGGACCAAAGGAGCTTTGAGAAACCGCCTCGGAGGGCTGTTCCACCCACGGATATTGCCTGCTCAGTGATTCACGTGTTGAAAGGACACCTGGGGTGGACACAGGAGAAGCGGGAGACACAGAGAACAGTCTCTGAGGGAAAGACAAGGAACGGCTCCTGCTGAATCCCTACACAGAGAAAGAAAGATAAGCATGCACACTTTGAACAGTACACATTATTTGACTCACGAGCAAATAATCACAAGTTTTAGTTTGCAACACAAAGAAGCTCTTGTGGCTGTTGTGTTTCTCACAATACTTTTTACGTCACACTAATAAATGAAAATGTAGACTGCCCTCTTCTGGACATGCCTGTAAATGCTATTTAGAGACATTGCTAATTTTGGTTCAGGGGAGGTCAGGGTTGGTTGGCACAGGATTAATTCTGGGTTATAATTAGATACCATCAAAACATTTTTCGGTGCAGTTGCACTCTTCAAACTCCGAGACATGAAAGCTAGACTCCTGCTAAAATGGCATTGATAAGAGAGACATTCGGGAGAAGTTTCTCAGTTTGGGAAGGTTTCCAAATGATTGCTTCAGAAGTTGCAACCTGTGTGTCTAATTATCACCTCTGTCAGACAGTACTGCTGTCCTCAAGCGTTGTTATTAAAACATGATTTTTCTATTCAGCTTGGAGTTGAGTTGGGGGATATTTCAGCACTTACCTCTGGTTAAAGGCACTTGACTAGTTCAGAAGTGTAAGACCTATCAGATTTCTAAGCAGAAGTGGTGTCTTAATAGGGTTTGTGTGTTTCAAACATGGTGGAGCAAGAGCTATTTATATAATGAGCTATGTGCAGAGTTAAGAGAAACACAGCCCACAACCCACTGCAAGAGTATATCAACAATCTGAGAAGAACAGAACTAATCTGACAGAACTGTTCACGATATCTCATCATTTGAGTTTGTTTAAAGTCTTCTGTGTTATGTAGTATTGAGGTGTATTTTTATTTGTATTACACTGATGGAAAATATAGTGCATTTTTCCATGTATGGACTGGTCTTTGTAGGACTTTACCAGAGAGAAGGCAGAAAGAGTAGCATTGGTAACATGGAAATACAAGAAAGTGCAAAGAAAAAATACAGAAATGAAAGCACAGAAAGCATGAGACAGAGCTGATGGGAATATTTATTAAAGAAAAGTGCAATAGTTTCTAAATTACAAGAGGAAAGAAGAACAGAAGTAACATAGTTCAGAATGATATTTGAATGAGTATTCTGTACACCCGTCCTCAGTGTTGGGGGTAACGCATTACAAGTAACGCGAGTTACGTAATCAGATTACTTTCTTCAAGTAACTAGTAAAGTAACACATTACTTTTTAATTTACAAGAGAATATCTGAGTTACTTTTTCAAATAAGTAACGCAAGTTACTTTGTTTCCATTTTATTGACTGACAGCTCTGGTGTTGCCATGCTGAGAGAAATCAGAAGATGTTACTGTAGCTCTAAAATAAATATGAATATGCATTAATTCGTCTCTCTCACACAAAAAAACACAGATTCAGTATTCCTCAAAATGAATAAAAATAATGCAACTCAGAATATGACGCAAACCTGCAATAATTAAATGTTAAACAACACAAATATCCTTTATGTATTTAATCCCATTCTATTAGCTTCTGAGCTTCGATGATCCAGTTCAAGCGTACTAATAAGCACAAATTACTCTAGACGAACATTTGTGTGTCTTTGTTTATTGCTGAAGTGTGTTCTTCTGCATTCTACTGTACTTTCCCTTCAGCCTGAGGCTTATTCATTTCACTTTTGGTGTGAAAAGCTTTTATATTTGCCAAAAATATAACTTTTTTATTTTAAAAACAAACAAGCAAGCCCTGTCCAGATTTAACAAGTAATGCAAAAGTAACGTAACGCATTACTTTCCATAAAAAGTAACGCAATATTGTAATGCATTACTTTTAAAAGTAACTTTCCCCAACACTGCCCGTCCTTTGTTCACTGTATCTGAACAGCACATAATACGAATGAAGTATTCTGAATTATATTTTTAGATTAACTTGAAATGCCCAAAAGAGAATATCCACAAGAAAAAAATATAACTATGCCTTTAAACCATCTGAGAAAGGTTTTCCTCACTAACAACAACTGATCTGGAGGTCTGACAGAATTGCAAAGGAGGCTCAATCCGAGGGGAGATCTAGTATATTGATCTGAAACTCTAGCATTTAATGCATTTAACACAAATTATTGAATTGTTGCTTAGACAATGTGGCTGGCAAAAATCGCAAGTTTATCATCCAGGCCCACTTGGCATAATATGGTGAATGTGTTGTGTTGCTTGACACAAAAAAGAGAAAATATCAAACAGATTTTCTATTTTTTTAAAAACACAAAATAACTGTCATTAATGTGGAAACATATCACATTGAAATAATTCTGAAATAATAAATTGTAGAACTCTTATATAATGCATGGAAATCATATCTTGTGCATTGATCTGGAACGAATGAGGAAACCATTTTTCTTTGATCTTTTGATATATTAGTGGTGATTGCGCTATAAAAATGTTCAAAAATCATTATATATGCAAAAACAGCACTTTTTCAATCTGCCAAAACAACTCGTTTTGCATATATACTGTTGTTTGTGCAAAAAAAACTTTACTAACATTATAAGTGAATCTCAAGTAACACTTTAGATTAGTGAACACTATTTGCTGTTAACTCGTTGCTTACTAGCATGCATATTACTTGCATATTGCATATACTACCTTACTTACTATCAATAAGCAGCAAATGAGGCGTCTATTGAGGGGAAACTCTTAGTCAGTCGTGAATATGTGTTCCCTAATCTAAAGTGTTACCCAAGAAACATGCCATAATCCCTTTAAAACTTAGTTAACGCTGCATAATGACTGGTTTCCATTGCTTGCCTCTAGTGTTTGTTTTTTTAGCCGAAAACTTTGGTCTTGGAGCCACTGGTATTGCACACCGTGAAGCGTATTCATTATTCACGGGTAAAGAGGACCCTACACAGACATTGCCTTCAGAGCTTGCAGAAGGCATGCAGGCGTTTGAGAGGCCTTTGTTTCTGTAGCTATCGCGCATGGTTAGTTGTTTGCCATGTGACTGTTGTGGAGTAATGGTGGCCTCATTTGATGCAGACTGAGGGACATAGGGGTAAGGCACACTTACCAGATTTTGCTTAACTGACTGCGAACTATTTAGGGAGCGAGAGAGCGCTGCCGATGGCTCACAAGCAAGGGACTGGGGTTGAAAACTGGCAGGGGTTTGAGCAGAAGTCTGCTTAGACTCTATAATGGAGTTGTAGGTGAAAAGCGAGGAATTCAGCTGGTAAGGCTGATGTTTCATGACATCCAGAACATTGAGATGCTTGGGTGGTGGATTCGTCTTCTCTTTGTTTGCTTTAGGCTTCATCTTTGCACTAGTTGCAGGAGGGGGTTGTTTGACCGCCGCAAGGGGATAAAAAGGAGACAAAATAGGATTGTAGGATACAGGAGGTCGGGAACGGACGTTAGAAGAGTGTTTCCAGGTGCTTGGCATTGAAAGTGTCGGCGAGGATGATCTGGCCTTGCTGGCTCGCACGGTCTCATCATCCACCACAAATTTGTTCATACGGGACTGTCTCCGAGCAAAGAGTTCAGCTCCTTTTCCTTTAAGGTTCAGCCCCTCAGAAGCACCTGCATCTGATGAATAACCTTTAGGAAATGATTTAGATGCCTGAACGTATGTGTTGAGGTGTTGAGGTGGGCAAGAAGCAACAGAGTTACCATCATTTTGTGAGCTAATCCGCGATGTTTTAGACTGACCAGCACGCAGTGAAGCTGGTGTGTGTTGTGCATGACTCGGTTCTGGAGTCCAGGCTGATTGATAGAGGTTTGGTGGGCTTTGTTGGGGTACTGCATGCACCTGGGTGTGTCCCATAGCTGGAACTGAACTTGATGGTGCGAGGGGACTCTGAAAGCGCTCTGCGGACCAAGGAGGGCAAGCTGGGTTGATGACAGGTTTGGGTAGGACAGGTGGAGGGTTTTTCTGCTTGATCCTCGGAGCTTGCATGAAATTGCATGCTTCAGCACCCAGACTGAGAAAGTCGTCTTCTGCAACAGACTCTGTTAAGGACTTCTGCTTGCCTTTTTTCTGAAGCGGAGGCATCTCTTTCGAGTCTGTCTTGTTTGCTCCTCTCCGTTTAGTTTCTGGCAGGATCCCTGTTTTAATTGCAGGTATGGTGACACGTTCATCACGTGAAGCAATGATGTCTGAGGTGGGGGACCAAACCTGTGGAGTTGTGTTTACTGGAACGGGAACCTTGAATATGTTTTCAGGTTTCTTAGGTGTAGGGCTTGAGATGCCTTTGACTGGTGAAAAACTTTTTTGTCCTTGATTATGGCCACCCGTGAAGGGCTTCGCAGTTCTGTTGGAGACGAGGGATCTGGGAACGGCTGAACCTTGGTGGCCATTCATACCGTTTGCTGATTGTGGTAACATCTGTTGCTGAAATGGTTGCTGTTGCCTTACATAGATATCTTGAGGGGCTTGTGTACTTTGTTCCTGCGGAGGAGGCTTAACAGGTGCATGCAGTGGCGAGCCTTTTAGTCTCATTCCCTCTTGCTCCTCGGAAAGCTCATCCATCCTTTGACGCCTCTGGGCAAACATTAAGGCTCCCTTTCCTTTAGTCTGTGGAAGATGCTCCATTGTTTCCACGTTTGACTCGGTCTGTACTTTGAAATTCTGTTTTGCTCAAAGCAGTACCGTGGTTCTGAGCACTGAAGGAGCCGTATTCTTCTCAGAATCTATTTTTTGTGGCAATCTGAAGTCCGTCCTGAAATCTGTCACCCAGAATCCGTACCATGTGAACCTTTTTTAGACACTTCTTGAACATCAACTCGCTCTTCTTTTTATGTTATGTTTACACTTCAGAGTTGGCTTTTTTTCAGCTGCCTCACTCCATCTTAGTCCTGTGAAGGTAAATGTAGAACAAGGAAATATAGTAAATTGCATGAGAAATATGAAGAATGCAATTCCACAAAACACTGCAGGAATTATTTAGAAATTGACCAGATTAACAACATGGGATCATGGTGTTATCATCTCATAATAATCATGGTTAATACATTCCCTCTGTCATTATTAATAAACACCAGCTATTATTTTAAAAGATAAGGTATTATTAAGCAATTTTGACATTTTTATTGAAGTGGCATTTAGTTTTTATCAGTTTATAGTGTTGAATTTCTCTGCACATCTTAATAAATCCATCAAAACATCATCACACAAGCCTCAGAAGAACATTGTTAGCTGACTCATTAAAGCTTTAACCATATACTAATTTAAGATTAAGTCAACTAATCTTGCCTCATTAATCAGATAGCATCGAAACAATTCCAGCTGCATCATTTACATCCAAATCCAACTTTCTCACACAGCTCAATCCAACGTTATTATCAGAATACAATTGTTCATTTTCTAAATTTAAGTGTATTCAAATGCAGCTTTCAAATAAGAAATAAGCATCCCTCAAATTATTAGAAAATGAGCACACACTTACGCTATAAATCCAGGCAATCTATCTTTTAACGTTGTAAAAAAAAAAAATTCTAATGCTTACACTTGGCTTTCTAACAGTCAGCTTAGTCCAAAGCACCCTGACTTACTAAAGGCTTTTTAGGTGAACAAACATTGTGAGACGTCATAAAACCCCTTGGCTAAAGGGGGTATCTGTGCAAACTGTGTCATGCTCTGTGGTGGAAAGAGAGAGAGAGAGAGAGAGGAGAGGTGGGGTCCACTATTTAACGAGTCAGGTCTTCTCAATGAGGGATCGTATGACAAATCTCTACTGACACATGCTGGTGCCTATCAAACCTGTGTCCTGAGGACTACTGCAGGGACACACTCTTATTGAAGTATCTCTCTGATGCTGGTTTAGCATATGACTTGCCTCATCCTTCCCAAACCATTACTAGTATTGACAACGGGTGAGCAATTTAAGAGAAAAAGCTAAACTTTGTGCTTTTAATTGCATATTAGACCAACAGGGGCCGGTTGCATTAACTACTTAAACTGTAGTCACCGAATTCCTTTTCTTAGTCATAACTTTTTTTTAAAAGTTGATTACAAAAAGGTAGATTTGTCTGTTAGTTGGTTAAACTTAGTTGGCTATGTTTATGTAACTGGCCCCAATAGCAAAACCTAAAAATCCTTGAGTGTTTCAGTATGTGAGCACATGTGTGACCCTGGAGCACAAAACCAGTCTTAAGTGTTAATTTTTCAAAATTGAGATTTATACATCATCTGAAAGCTGAACAAATACGCTTTCCATTGATGTATGGGTTGTTAAGATAGGACAATATTTGGTGCAATAATCTGAGGGTGCAAAAAAAATCTAAATATTGAGAAAATCATCTTTAAAGTTGTTCAAATTAAGTTCTTAGCAATGCATATTACTAATCAAACATTAAGTTTGTATATATTTACGGTAGGAGATTTACAAAATATCTTCATGGAACACGATCTTTACTTAATATCCTAATGATTTTTGGCATAAAAGAAAAATCTATAATTTTGACCAATACTCTATGTATTGTTGGTTATTGCTACAAATATCCCCCAGCGACTTAACACTGCTTTTGTGCTCCAGGCTTAGAGCTTATCTAACAGTCAGCTTAGTCCAAAGCACCCTGACTTACTAAAGGCTTTTTAGGTGAACAAACATTGTGAGACGTCATAAAACCCCTTGGCTAAAGGGGGTATCTGTGCAAACTGTGTCATGCTCTGTGGTGGAAAGAGAGAGAGAGAGAGAGAGGAGAGGTGGGGTCCACTATTTAACGAGTCAGGTCTTCTCAATGAGGGATCGTATGACAAATCTCTACTGACACATGCTGGTGCCTATCAAACCTGTGTCCTGAGGACTACTGCAGGGACACACTCTTATTGAAGTATCTCTCTGATGCTGGTTTAGCATATGACTTGCCTCATCCTTCCCAAACCATTACTAGTATTGACAAAGGGTGAGCAATTTAAGAGAAAAATCAAAACTTTGTGCTTTTAATTGCATATTAGACCAACAGGGGCCGGTTGCATTAACTACTTAAACTATAGTCACCGAATTCCTTTTCTTAGTCATAACTTTTTTTAAGTTGATTACAAAAAGGTAGATTTGTCTGTTAGTTGGTTAAACTTAGTTGGCTATGTTTATGTAACTGGCCCCAATAGCAAAACCTAAAAATCCTTGAGTGTTTCAGTATGTGAGCACATGTGTGACCCTGGAACACAAAACCAGTCTTAAGTGTCAATTTTTCAAAATTGAGATTTATACATCATCTGAAAGCTGAACAAATACGCTTTCCATTGATGTATGGGTTGTTAAGATAGGACAATATTTGGTGCAATAATCTGAGGGTGCAAAAAAAATCTAAATATTGAGAAAATCATCTTTAAAGTTGTTCAAATTAAGTTCTTAGCAATGCATATTACTAATCAAACATTAAGTTTGTATATATTTACGGTAGGAGATTTACAAAATATCTTCATGGAACACGATCTTTACTTAATATCCTAATGATTTTTGGCATAAAAGAAAAATCTATAATTTTGACCAATACTCTATGTATTGTTGGTTATTGCTACAAATATACCCCAGCGACTTAACACTGCTTTTGTGCTCCAGGCTTAGAGCTTATATTGTTAAAATTCACTCTATTGGATATGTAAGATAATATATTAAGTATTTAAAGTATTCCGATGTTTATTACATTTCTTTTGTAAGGTAACATTAGATAACAGTAGAAAAAGAAAGCAGAGACAGATACAGACAAAGACAGCTGCTGAAGGACAGATTTGGAGCAGGTTTATGTCTTACTTGGTGTCTGCTGGGTCCCGTCGAGGAGGCAGTGCCCCACCGTTTGCTCAAAACCCTGGACTTGAAGTGCACTTGACACACGGGAGGTCCCACGCCTCCCCCTCCTCCTCCTCCTCCTCTTATGCCTTTTTTTTGCTTCCTCAGTTTCCAAGGATTCAGCGTTCCTGCTGGCTTCTAGTGTGAACCTGTGCTGGAAGAGCTGCAGTCCACCTGACTCTGCTGTCTTGTTCAGATGTACTTCGAGGAGGATCTGTACCAGTCTCTTCAGTGTGGGACTGTCAGAGTCATGTCAAAGCATGCTGACAGAACCAGCTTTTAAGTGATCAGAGCCACACTTGCATGCTTGATAACATTTCTGTTTCTCCACAATGGAAATAGAAAGGTGCAGAGGGGCTGTCTGACCTTGTCTCAATAAACTCCTAATTGTAGTTTTTAAGTTAAGGTATGTGAATATGATCATGCAGGATAAGGCATTCATATGTACTTTATAAGTAGTAATAAACAGCCAACATGCATGCTAATAAACAACTAGTTTATAGTGAGAATTTGTTTGAATATATATTTACATTTAGTCATTTTGCAGACGCTTTTATCCAAAATGACTTACAAATGAGGACAATATAAGCAATCAAAACCAACTACAGAGCAATAATATGTAAGTGCTGTGACAAGTCCTGGTTAATCTAACGCAGTACACATAGCAAGGGTTTTTTAATATAATAAATAAAAAGAAAACAAGTAGATAGAATAAAAAAAGACAAGTAGTAAAAATAGAAATAGAATAGAGAGTGCAAGTGTTAGAGGGTCAGGGGTTTTTAGAATGTAAATATATACGGTATGTGTGTGTGTGTGTGTGTGTGTGTGTGTACATATTTACTATATATATATAACAGACCATTTGTTTTGCTTATGTCATTGCAATTAAATTCCATGTAAATCAAAAATACTTTTTAGTTTTTGCATCCATTTAATTCTAGAATGCACTCATCTGCATTGAGCCAATGAATGGATATATACAGAGAACAATAACTAAGATATAAAAAGCATTTAAAGCATTACTTGGCACAAAATCCTTTGCTATTCCAGGCACTTAACCGTGAAGCAATGTTGTGCTGAAAATAAGCACAACCTGCTGTAACACAGCCCTAATATAGACAAGAGAATCAAATGGTTCCTGGGATCTTGTGAGCCGTAGAACTCAGAAACTTAACTTGAAACTTAACACGGCAAATGAAAAACTCTGACTTTGTGTTGTCTACAAAACCCTAAAATGTTCATGACTAAAAGTGTTCAAGCTCCAGGCCTAAGCGTGCACACGAGTATTTGGTGATTTCCAAAATGGCACAAGTGAGTCTAATGGAGTGAATTCTGCAGTGCCATCACCAGCTCTCCTGCTCGCTCTCTCTCTCTCTAGAAGGAATGGTATTCACTGTTTGTGTCTAAATGTTAAACTAGCATTTGTGTCCTGGAAGCCAAACACAACAGTGCGGTGGCTGTTTTCCATATTGTCCTCCTGATGGTCCTTACAAAGTCTCATTACCATTTATGTCTCATCACACAAGCATGGACAGAGATAAAGAGATATGAATGGGGGGGATATACAGTTTATTACCACCCAAGTGATGATTTTACGTCATATGACCAGTGTACGGTCCAAATTGCTATATGCGTAAAATGCATGTGCTCATTGTCTTATATGTTGCAGTATTGCTTGTGTATTTCCTCTAAACGCAGATAATAAACACAGCCTCTAGAAACAAGGGACGGCACATCAGAAAAAGTGAGGCCTAAGCGTGCACACGAGTATTTGGTGATTTCCAAAATGGCACAAGTGAGTCTAATGGAGTGAATTCTGCAGTGCCATCACCAGCTCTCCTGCTCGCTCTCTCTCTCTCTAGAAGGAATGGTATTCACTGTTTGTGTCTAAATGTTAAACTAGCATTTGTGTCCTAGAAGCCAAACACAACAGTGCGGTGGCTGTTTTCCATATTGTCCTCCTGATGGTCCTTACAAAGTCTCATTACCATTTATGTCTCATCACACAAGCATGGACAGAGATAAAGAGATATGAATGGGGGGATATACAGTTTATTACCACCCAAGTGATGATTTTACTTCATATGACCAGTGTACGGTCCAAATTGCTTTATGCGTAAAATGCATGTGCTCATTGTCTTTTATGTTGCAGTATTGCTTGTGTATTTCCTCTAAATGCAGATAATAAACACAGCCTCTAGAAACAAGGGACGGCACATCAGAAAAAGTGCGTTGTCATTCTTATCTCTGACAGAAAGCTGTTTTATTGGGCTGACCCTTGACCTTCATCAAATAAATATTTCAGCTGGACAAAATGTCTTTGATATGTGAAAGTCTGATAGGAGTCAACACATGCATACACATATCATCTCAGTTGTGGAGCAACAGCCCAGTTTTTCCACTTTCACATCTGAAGTAGAAAGCTTCTGTAGCATTATACACTACAGTTCAAACGTATGGAGTCAGTAAGATATTTACCTGTTTGTTCATTTATTTATTTGGAAAGAAATTAATACTTTTATTCAACAAGGATGCATTAAACCGATCAAAAGTGACAGTAAAGACATTTAGAATGTTACTAAAGATTACAAACTTTCTATTCATCAAAGAATTCTGGAAAAAGGTATACTAACTGTTATATTATATTACACTCTAAAAAGTGCTGGGTTGTTTCAAATATGGACTAACCCAACTGTTGGGTTTGAGAGAGAAAGAGAGAGAGAGAGAGAGAGAGAGAGAGAGAGAGAGAGAGAGAGAGAGAGAGAGAGAGAGAGAGAGAGAGAGAGAGAGAGAGAGAGAGAGAGAGAGAAAGAGAAG